GTGTGGATCATCGCCTGAGCCAATACCACAAGAGCCGTAGAGGAAATAAGCAAAATTGAAGAGGCAATGCCTTTTCCTGGGCGTACACGGGATATCTGCAGTTCCAGAGAGCGTTATCGTTCCGCTACTATTTCCGTACTTTTTTCAGGACTAGTGCACGGATATCCTAGAACATTCGAAATTGGCACAACCGTTCAGTCCTTCAGACTAAAATCTAGTACACTAGAGAACATCATGAGGCTAAGACCAATCGAAATACTGTGAACAGACAAAAATCGAACTGATCCATTTGTATTTTTTCACTGTCAGTCGGCAGTCAAGTACACGGATCCGACACCACTCGTTTATCCGTATGTGCTGGCAGAAAAAGACGTTTGTCTCTGTGTCAATGCCAAATCGCTGTCCCCGGATACTCTGTTTGGCATCTCGAAGGGATGCAAACTCATGCACACAAGCAATAGCTTATGACACTCCTATCCAAACTAAAGCGCCTGTCATCTTGTGATATGATTTTGTGTTATGTGGTGCAACGAATGCGGTAAGAATAGGATTTCTATGGGGCGGATTTTCCAGTTTCAACTCTATAGATTAAGGTAACCAGCGTTACTTGCCTTCACTTGTCAGAACCCAATTTGCATCAAAAATCTGTCAGTCAGCCACTTAGTCTGCGAGCAATGTAAAGGTTGTGAGTTTTTGCATAGAAGCTGAAAGAATGGAAGAACAACTTCATGGAGTTTCATGTACATTATCCCCTATTTCAAATACCCATTACATTAGTTTACCTAGCATAAGCAAACACCAAGAGCACCATTGCAAGTTGTTCTCAACTTTCTGATTGTCAACTAACTCAGCCCTAACCATAGTTCACGACATTTTACAATATATAGATTCAAAAGAAGCGGAAGACTTTTTGAACTTTTTGATACTCTGCTCCACAGTGCACATATACAGTGCGTGCATTTGTCGAAACTTCCTAAGTTACATCAAAATTTTGCAGTTAGCCAAAATGGATACTACACAATAGCTTTTTGCTCATCTAATAAATGACAAGGCAAGTCATTCCATTTTGCAGTTAAAATAAATAATAATAAAATAATTGTACGTGAACCCGGGCTTATAATTTGAGTGGGATTTTGGGGAAAGAGGTGTGCAATTTAACGAGGCCTAGAGATGCACCCAAAACATTAACCTGTTCAGAAATTTCAGTACAGTGGAGACACCTCGAAATGCTGTCCTTATAAATGCGCCCTAAAAGCCTCTCGTTGATGGAATTTTGATGATTTCTACTTCAAAAATTCTTCGAGCCCCAACCCATCCTTAACCATGTCTGTCCGACTGTCCTTGTATCTATCTAACGTAGCATGCTAATCGTTTCCTCCAATACTCAAATTTATCATTTTATCCAATAAAAGTACTCTTCTTTATCCATGCTAACCACTGTTCAAGGTAGGTATTTTTGGGTATCAGCAGGTCTAGCACAAAAACCACGTGACCCTAGACAAATATAGATGAAGGCATAGCAATAATTTCAGAGAAAATGATGAAGATTGGCATCGTGCCCACCACCACATCTTTTAGACATCTCGCCCGTGTAGGTGTGATATGATGTTGGCAACATGGATGTCGTTGCATTCTGCTTTCTCTTCAATCAGCACACACGATACAAACTAGGGCTCCATTTGAAGATTCGCTTACATTGCAGGGGAATGACACCATACATTCGACGGTGCAAAGGTATGTTGTGGAAATGAGCAGAACATTTTATTTTGAACATGAAAGGTTATTCACTCAACCAAAGTAGCAAAATAGTCCACGAAGGCTCATGAGCGTAGGTCATCAAATATAAATCAGAACAGTTTTAATTGTTACATAAAACCAATTTGTATATTTAAAAGTAAACTGTACTATGACAGCTGCATTCTGCTAAATTGAACGCATCAGCTCTCACTGAAACACTTCTTCAAATGATGTTGACCAGTGATAAAGTTAATGAGGTATTGAGGAAGGGAGAAATGAGTGAAAGCACTCTGCAATAAAGTGTTGAACGTCTCGAGAGACTGCCGAGTCCTACTAGAATTGGTTAGAGGACAGGGAAGTGTGAATAGATTAGAAAGGTCCCAATCGCATTATCGTATGTGATTCAGTAGGGTAAAATCCTGTGAAAGGATGTAGTGAACTTATTTGCCTAAACTTTGCACCAAGAAGTATGAGAGTGGATCCTGCCTTCTGCCATGCAGTCATACCTTCTGCTTGCGACCTTGTCTGCTGTCGCAAGCCAGGGTCGTGAAAGTACATTGTATCCACTGCCATGCAAATTTAATTTGAGGAAACGTGCCCCAACTACGTCAGCCCACCTCAAAGCTCGCCAATGTGCAGGTCGCATGACGATGCACGACTTAAAATTCCTCCTTAATTTAGCTATTAATAGAAACTGATAAAAGTTTCTGCTTGGAATCAGAAAGCCATTTATTCTAAAATTGGCGTGATTCACTCTAATGTGAACGATTAATATGGATTAGAATAAAGAGGTCACTGAACATCTACTTTCGTTAAACAGAATTGAAACATCTCGAAAAATACCGAACTCATTGATTTTGCAAAACTTTATGCAAGCGTAAGTTATTTTCTTTTATTAAATATGCTTCAAACACGCCTTGTAAAAGGCCTATATTATAACCGATTGTGTTTCCTTAGAGTTTATGGTATAAGACATATATTGGAAAGGTCATCGTTGCACATGCTGCTACTCATCGCATTTCAGTGGTTTGTACTTGGCACTTTTGGCTCAAGTGGATAGATGAAGTGGGAAGTATGGGTCTTTGCTAGGGTGGAGTGAATGTAATAAAGTAAGCTACTTCAGACACCAGTTTTGATATCACTCTGATCTTTGCACCAATACTTGCTCCTACACTGAGAGCACAGTTTTAAACCACAAATATGTGGAATTGCTGGACTTGTCGCGACTGTACTGGTCCCGTTATATTAATATCAGCATGAGAAATGAACCAAACCTTAGTACCAACTACAAATGATTACCAGCTACATGTATTTTGTGGTTATTAAAAACATTTACCAGTTAATTGTAGTGCACTATGAATTGAGACGGAGGTAAGATTAAAGTTAATCAGGCATGAGAAGAAGTTGGCAAGTGCACACCGATCATCATGCAAGAAAATGCTCAATTAGATATTGCTTTAGCAGCACTGGTCATGCTGACAAGGGAATCAGCGCTTCCTATCGAGAAAAAGGGGACAAGGAGACCTCTATGACAATGATCATATTTAGAAGCCAGAGTTCATTTTAAAACAAAGATGTGAAAATTGATTTAATTTATGTTTGTAAAAATTTTCGTATCCAATACAAAAATTAAGGTGCAATTTCATAACCAAATGCTTTCCTTTTTCAGCGCGATGTTGAACTGGCGTTTTCTTCATTAGTGTTAATGGCAGTTTATAAAGTATGGTCCATTACACTTCTCATAATTATTGAATAAAGAATTTGTGAGTAGCGCTATGAGTACTGAATAATAAATAAAGGCAGGACTTGAGATTGAGAAGCGATGCCCTCCAAGAAAAGCTGATTTGTATAAAATACGTTGCTATTTAGCACACAAAATGGACATTTGGCATCGTATTACACAATTCTTGGTGCTTTTCATTGTCATGGTAATACACAATAAAAACACCAGGATTTATATCAAGGTGCACTAAAATAAGCAAAAGCGCGTTTGAAAGAATTACCATAGCGTTTTTAGTATTGTCACATTGTTGTGAGGCAAAGTTGACGAGACCCTTCTGATCTAAACTATCTTGATTTATGCCATGCTCATAGCTATTCCTGCTGAAATACATGACCAACCAAATGCATGTAGCTGGTTTAGCTATCACTCCTGTTTCCCGTATGCTTCTTCCACCTAAGTGACCAGTGATAATGGCATCCAGGCAGTAGTGGTGGTGAGGTAAAGTGAAAGTCAATTTTGGAGCGCTAATTTTAAACAAGCATTCAATCAACCAACCAACATATTAATGGTACAGTGGAGGAAGCAAGATTTGTATTTACACTGTGCTGAGAGAAATTTAAGTAATCTATGAGAGCGGATAGACTGGTCTATTTTGAGACCAGATAGCATTGAATAACGTAAATCTGACGTCATGACCAGATAATCTAAGTTGAAATGATTATTACTAAGCAATAATTTGTGCACTTAAATTCGATGTTATGTCTGCAAAACACTTCTGTCCTACTTCACAGCTAGTAATGGTGTTTTCGGAATGTTTTTTTCATTTTCTTTCATGAAATTATTTTGGATAGCCTATAAATCATGTGTCATCAACTCAATTAATCTGCTGTTGATAGAGCAGTCCTCTTTGTTAGTTGCCTTCTTTTAAGATTATCCAATAGACGAAGATCACAGGTGGTCGCAAAGATTAAAAGATGAAAGCCAAGGAACTCAATGTCAGTGTATTGCTCACGAAATATCAGCTTCTGTAGCCTCGCCAATTTTTTTGCCAGCTTTGCGTACACTTTTCCCTGTTGAGTTACAGAATTCGCATACACTTAATTGTGTCAGTGCAGTACACAGAGGCAGCCTATAACACACTACCACATTCTACAGTTTGTCATCAAGAAATAGGCCCCTATTCTATAAATGGAGACGCTTCGATGCGTCATTATCACCACCAAGTTCTTGCACACCTCTAATCGGAAAAATGTTATCACTATAATGATGATAGTAGGCATTAAGCCTAATCCTACCAATTTGAATTGCTACCGAAATCAGCATAACTATAAACACTCAAGTTTTTTGCACTGCTTGCAGCTAAACCACCCGTATCAGCAGAAACACAATTACTATGATAATGCTGAGGACTATCGGGAAAGCTATCAATTTTGGCGGGTGGCAGTTGGCAAGAATTGAGTATGGCGATGCACAACACATATCAACCCACCAATCATCCCCCAACTTTCTACAAATGGCGGGAACTATTAGAGAAAGACAAGAAGGCAACTACGGAAAACTATTTCAATAAGGAAAAATGGATGCTGCAAGATTCGAAGTCTAACAAAGCTCACCCGCCCCTCCATCAGCTGTAATACAGGATCTGCAATCGGTCCTGCTGGCCATCACTTAGAGAGAGTTCCTATCGTGTGGCATACACACTTTATCATTGCTAGAGATTTTGAGCTTTCGAATTCGGACGTCCGACAATCACTCTACGATTGCGTGACAAGGCGATGTGGCGGGCGACTTGGCCTCGTCAAATGGAGATGAATACTAGCAGGCAAATGACTCCGAGATTTCCTTGTTTCTAGCCCTATTCAAATTGTAGCTCCTATCAACTTTCACCATTTTACTTGATTTATTAATGTAGGTGACCATTTTTCTCACAGGCAAATATGCCACACACAGTCAGCGTTGAGGGCTTGGAGGCAAATAGAAGGAACACATTTTTCATGGACTTGATGCCGAACTATCAGAATATGTGCAGATTTCAATCCGACCATTGGATTTTCTATCAGATCTTTAAGCCTTCTCCCCTACGGAATTAAGATGAGTTTTAAGTGCATTTGAATTACCTCTGTAGATGCTTGCATAAATCAGTATTTTGCGAACACGACTTTAATAGATGCCTCCGCATCTCTCTCAGCTTCTCACACCTATGTGTCATGCAGTGCACGTGAATGTGGATAGCAGTTGTTGGCGTGCGGAATGGATTTTAAGCTTGTCCAGCTCACCAACAACGCTAGTAATGCTATAAGCAAGAATTGGATAATCGTTTTGACCTTCAGTGCAAGCTCTGTTGTTGCTTTTAAGCGAAGAAGTAACTACTGACTTATACTCGCCACTGACGAGTTCTATTTAATTTTGCCATGTCCTCGTATAGATATTTGCTTGTGGCATGCAGGACTACCTTTCAAGCTGCCGCATAGTACGTCACTTGACATCAGAAGAGGCAGCGGTGAGTCAATCAACTAAATGAAGGAGGCGAAGAGATTATACAACAGGCCTTGAGCATGTAGGCACCTACGTCATTCCAGAGACAGAATTCGTAGTCATCACTGCTTCTCGGAATGGACTCGTTTCTAAGACAAGGATCAGCGCAAATTCCTGCTCAAAGGCATTCAGAAATCATCGATACTTGATGAATTTGTCAAATTAGCCATTTACTACCAAATTTCTGTCACTGAATGTATTGCATTCAGGCGGATATGCATATCATTTGCCACTTTTGTGAATACCTACTGCCATATACTTTGATTCTCTTGGCTACCTCTCCTCCAGCTAAGTTACAAGCCAGTTCCATTCATTTGGGAATAAATCAACGAAAGGTGTTTGCAGTTTTCAGTCATTTTGCTTTATCAGAATTGCACTAATTCATAAGGCTATTCGTCGGTTGATTAACTACTTCAGTGGACTTCACCTTGAAAATGACCCTCGAGAAGAACGTTCCATTTTACTAGAGGGTATTTGCAATAAGTAATTGCTTTTATGTAAGGGTGAGCATGAATAACAAAATGGCAACACTCAACCATGCTAATGCATAGCTGGTTGCCATAAACTTTGGCCAGAAAATTTGGACAGGTGTAGTCTAAAAGCCAAATGTCTCCGCAAAAGCGATGTCTATGGGTTGAAGCATCGTCTTTGATATTAAGCTTGATTATACAGTTTAGGGGTTTCATCCACCATAAGTTCCTTCAGACAATGACAGAATTTCTATTTTGTTTTCCAAAAAGTAGACTACAGACGCCTTCTGAACGAAAATAATGGAACGCACTCTTACCGTCATGTTTATCCTCCTCATTTCCACGACCCGTTCCGAGAGGCACGTCCATAACCATCTTGACTTCGGAGCACTGTTTCTGGATGTCATTTACTTGTCAAGGTGAAGAAGGGACATAAGTTGTCGAGGTCACATTAATCATGGGGTCCAAATACATAGTCGTGGATCATTTGGCATTCGGATCTAGTTGATTGGTGAGGCCCACATGGTCGGACACGTGAAAGGTATCAAACGATTTCAGACAGGTTTGAACGCAAATATATGGGTTAGGTTTTCGAAGTCATAGCTTCTGTGAAAAAGACCTCCAGTGAGTACAAATTTCACTCTTATCGCTAATGTTTACTATTTTGGGTTTACAAGCATTTGCCTGCCTTAAGGTTAAATTATTAGGTATGGGTACCTTAAAATCTTCACTTTGGAATAGTTTTTAATATTTGCATTGACATAATCGGAGAAAAAAAAATAATTTCAGGTCCACTTTTAAAACACGCAGTACTCAGCTACATCTGAAAAGCATCCAAATTGTTTAATATTTTCTCCTAGTTACGACAACATCTATCCTGCATAACAGTTTAATAGCCCTGTTGGCAACAAAACTAACCACATTTGTGTAGTGGTGTTTCTGCAAATTTCTACAAGAACGACCTCAACCTCAAAGCTGGTGAATTTTTCCGTGGTACTTACTCGGCCCTCCCTATGCTAAATGAGTGACTTAAGAGTTATGGAAGTAACTGCTCTGCAAATGCAGTTCTTCAGACCCTTCCGACAATGAAGCCGCTGCTGTCGTATATACATCGGTAACATAGAGATCCGAATATTTTGTGCGTTGTGCGTACTTTACTATTTTTAGCGTTTAGAGAGAAAAATTCATCCTAGTGTGTACGAATATTAATTGCCCTGGGTTCAATTTACAGAACAAATCTCCACTCATCGCTATACTACTGAATTATTTGCAAACATGCCATTTGCGCCAGAACGGATTTGAACTGCCTTCGGTTAAATTTTTAAAATAAATTGAACTTGTCAATATTTTGCCAAATAGTTTAGTCAGGAAATGTGAAAGAACGAATGTGAATTGTCTTGTGTACAATTTGCGGAACAAATACGAATTTTAATTGTCCAGGGTTCAATTTACATAATTAACTCCACTCGTCGATATTCTACCGAATTTTTTTGCTAACATGCGATTTGCGCGAGTACGAGTATCATTTGCCCTGGGTCCAATTCACACAAATAAACTCCACTCTTCGATATTTAGCGGAATGCTTTTCGAACATGAGATATGCGTGAGAAGGGATGTGAAATGCCACTGGTTCACATTACAGAACAAAGTAGAACAAATCAACGCGAGTTGCAACGAAAATGGTGGGATGATTCCTGATTTCCTATAAAACTTCCTTTTTCGTGCCGGATATTTTGATTATGTAGCATCTGAGTAAAACGCGTCTCATTTATCTCTCCAGTAGGATACAATGTCGTGGACTTTTCTGGAAGACTTTAATTGTTTCTGACCAACGAAGGGCACATTTTCCCAAACCCAGAAGTAGACAAAGTTGTGTTTGTCTCTAGTGTTACAACAATTATCTAAGCTTTTTTTCTACAAGAAGTGGGACCTTGTAAAGATTTAGCATATTTATCTAATAATAAAAACATATGTTTGGTGGCCATCATTCATTGTGTAGTCTTTGCGAATAAGAAAAATATTAGGTTAAATGCATCTACAGTAAGAGTGAAGATATTAATAAATACAACTGACTGCCTTCTTTGTTCCCCTCGATGTCAAATAGCTAAGGTTTTATTTGAACAGGAAACTACTAAGCAGCTCTCATCCACCCATTTTTAAAGCCTTATGCATGGCGTGACTAGTTAAGTTCAGAACACCAAACTACAAATTCCGCCATAGAGTTAATAGGAATTTTTAATCTGCAACTTGTAGGATTTATGAATCTCAAAAACATTTATACGATATGATTAGAATCAAAAGCTTTTATTGAACGAGTGTAGGATTAATGTATTTACTAGACAAAGGTCACAAGTTGGAGAAAATGACCGAATTCAAATTGAACAGTATATTTGAGCTGGTCGTCAACATTCCAGGCAGTCCGTAGATGGGGTTGGAATGACAGCATCAGGCAGCCACTATAGACTGCTAACACCCTTGGGCAGCTTCTATGTTTCGTAGCACACTAAAATGCAGTTTGCAAAGTGTGATAATTGCGGGTAGTGTTCACAAACCTTTGACCCTTTCTACCTTAACCAAGTGTCCGTTTATCATAAGTATTTCAGTGCAAGATAGACACAAAAAAATGGCTTCAACTTTTAGATAAATTGTAAAACCAAGGATTACACATAGGAATTGTCTAGCCTTGTTATTTATTTCATGATTTTTGTTTTATAATTATGCTTCTGGTAAAAGCTTTTAAGCAGAGGCAGCTTATTTGCTAGGCGAATATCACGTAACATTTTCGTCAAATTTATTTTACTAGAATCTGAAGTATGTCTAAATTATCACTTGGAAAAAAATTACATCCCATCACCATGCACCTGATTGTGGTTTAGCATCTATAGCCATAGCTTGCCTTTTGCCCAATTGGAGCAGACTTCTGACATCAATTTGCAGATTTTATTTTATAAGCAAACAGTGAATTTTGCATAAAAGCGAAGAAGCGTTGGTAGGGCTTGTGATGCGCCTACGAACTGTTACGTAGCACTTACTCGGAGAGTTTGCTCTAAAAAGAGAAGGACAGAAACGAGGCAGAATTCGTTAGGGCCTTGTAAAAGCTGCCTGACCCCTCCTTTACAGCTGCGTGTTCCCATGGCAAATCATAACAATAGGACAGTCGGAAACATGATTAATTCGGTTTTTGGATTGCCTGGTTTTTAAATTCCTCCAAGCAGTAATCAGCATGGCTTTCTCAATGATAAATTTACTTCATCGGTATATCATTAAGGATTTTAGCTATAATATATTCATTAATCATTGCAGGGAGGAGGTAAGGTAGGTGGGTTGTTAACCACTCCTTGTTAAGTTTTATTAACATTGGTTTAATTCAGCCAATTTTCAAATCATTAGTAATAATTCCAATTTGATTTTCCACTTAAAACTGGTTTTTACATTGAAAATATCCAATACACACTGGCATTTGTAGTCATGTAGTCCACCTAGTATCCCTAGGTGCCGCATTAAAGCAATCCTAATAATTTTACATAATATGACTGGCAGCTGCACCCACTCATAATTTTTCCCCTCATATTGAGTTTTACAATGATTTAGTTTTGCATCATAATGTTTCAATGCCACCTGTGCAGTGATCCAAATACCACATAAAACTGGGTTTTTGAGGTCCATGAAATATGCACTTTTGTCCGAGAAATAATACATCAGCTTACATTCTGTCTGTTTTAAAGGCAATAGGTGCAGAAGGTTTCTTTTATTCTAACAGCTTTGGGGAAGAGTGTGGATCAATACAACGGCTCCGTTATTGTTAACCTGTTGCTTGCACACCATTCCTATGGCATTCTTGATTAAATTATCGAACCTTAAAATCAGAAGCAAAATCAAAAGCCCAATCACCGTAGAAAAGGAGAAAGATCTAATTGCTTGCATTGTTTCTTGGCCGGTATAAAGTCGTCATAATGACTATTTGTAACCCTTTTTGAGATCATGTCGCAGCAGCTCTGCCATAACAGATTAAACCAGTTGGTGAAGTCCATTTGATGGCGCCTTATCTATTGTATAATAGGCAGTAGAGACCTACTGAAGAAACTGAGGCCCTAATAAACCTTTCGTAGGTTCGTCCATTTTACCTGACGTATCCATCATCACATTTATAATAGCTACAATAATTAATATCTGCTAAAGTGTAGAAGATTTTAAGGTGACCATCAACTTATTCTTGAGAAAGCGCAGAGTATCAACTATATAGATCAAGCAGTCGAAGAAGTCATTTACAACTTGGGTCTTTTTTAAAAATGCAGCACGTTTATTAACCAAATTACAGGCAAAGGTGATTACAGTACAGAAACAATATATATGCGCAATAATAGGTTGTTCATCGAACTGCACTCCCTAAAATCAAGTTGCCACGCTTTTCACTCTATTGATCTTTTCAAACAAGGCACCATGTTTACATTAGGGTCTAGCGAAATGCTAAAGCATGTAGTTATGTAGTCGTGGCTTTGCGCAAGTTTGGGTAAGTGTTAAATAGAGTCAAATTGTTCCTTCTGATACACAATGGCTTTGGAAGTAGGTGAGGGTTGTGGGAAGAGTAACTGGCGGAGGTGCTTGTTCTGCCAGGTCCAAGTGTCAATGAGCTGGAGCAGGACAGTAGAGAATGGCCGTGTTTAAAGAAATCATCTCCAAATTGAAACGCTATGCCTAGTTTCACTAAAACCATACCAACAAGGATCTGGCATGTTTTAATTGCGATCTGAGTAAAAGATCAATGATTATGTTATGGGCAATTTTGTGCCTAATTTTTTAAGAAAGTGTCCAACCCGTAGGCAACACAGAAACCAGACAACTAAAGTGCTGTGAAAAGGAAACGAATAAATAGAGTAATTAAGGCAAAAATAAGATACAAGTAGCGACTCCAGTGGCCTAGCATTAACACGAAATACTAGCACAGTTGAATTGCGTCGAGGTTTAAGCAAATCGACCCTTTGAGGGGGATTAGAATGATCTCACCTTCGTGTTAGAACATTGGTTCCTTCATTAATGTCCAGCTTTGAGCTGCTTTAATTATGTCGCTTATCCAATGATAAATACTTAAATGAAATGATCATGGGACTTTATAATAATTTGCACGCATTGAAAACTTACAGGAATAATATAATAGGTACAGTTGCCTGCTTTACTAGTAGTGGATACCTATGTGGTTTGATAGCAAAATATGCCTTATATCATAAATGCATTATTTTTTTGAAAACAGTTTATTTTAACCACCTTTGTAATCTTCGTGGCCTGAAAAGTAAATTTGTAAACGTCGAATAATTAACAGATTCCGCAGGCCAACAAACTCGCCACCTCGACAAATTCCTGCTTTGTTATGTCCACTGAAGACTGTAATATGATGAAAAAATAAACATAGATAAAAGAGCATTTCGGGCACATCACGGTCGTTAACAGTCACATGCGTGACGCCTCGACCTTCTTGCCTCCATCCGCCCATCAAAGATGCGCTCTAACAGCTTACGACAAATGTGCTTCAACCAAATTCCCGAATTCACCCATTTCGCATCCATTCAACCATCCATCATCTGTCTACCCATTTGCCCACCCTCCTATCCTCCACATGCTACCCATTCACTCCCAGTTGCCTAGCTTGTTGCAACGCCTACGCCATCAATATCAATCAACCTCCTGCAATACCCGCCCACACATTAAATGATCCACTGGCTTTCCAGCGGTTTAAGTAAATCTGGACATTTTTACCCCGAAAGAAGGGTAAAATCATTCACAACAAGGAGGGTGTTCACACATTGGCACAGTTTTGAGGCAACGTCATCTAGGAGGTGTCATTTACTAATGACTGAGGATCACGACTTTTAATGGAAAAGGAGGTATCACACACAGACAGCGTTACGCCTCAGAAAGTGTCCTCAGACGAAATTCCAAGGAAATCCCTTAAAAAATACTCTCTGACTGAAACGAGTGTTGTGAAGTCAACGGAAACTAGCTTTGCCTTCAATAACTGATTTAACGAAGGACTGCCTACTGGACCTCTTCCTTCTACCCTTCCCCCAAATTAACTCTGCCACTTGTTCTATTACTTGAGGCCAAATCGGAAGCTATCGCACAGGAAAGACAGTAAAAGTAGGAATGGTGGTCAAATCTAATGATACTGTTACGTAGAACAATCTCCATGACAAAAAACTCAAGAGGTACATAAAGGATGGATTCAAGAAGACAGTCTATTGCCAACAGGGACCTATGCACATCGTTCCAGTGGCATTTTTACAATCATCGCATCCCCGCCGCTACATTAGATTAGCGTTTTTAAATGCTGTAGAGTATTGAGGATTCACCAATTTATTCGCCAATGCTAAAGACGTTTTACAAGAATTGACCAGGGAAGGCCTTTTAACAAAGAGCATAGCATCTTTTATTACAGTCCTTGCATTTACTCTCAATTCGTACTCGAACTGAAGTATTGGAGTGCGAAGTACTGAAGACGCATTTCATGAGATGAAGTGAAACAACATCATGTAACGAATCAAAGCCGAAAGACCACAATTCTATATTAGGCTAAAGAAACAATGTCCAGACGAATCGTCGCAACGCCGAAGACTCAAATGTTGTGGAGTAGGGCTCAACATTTCCTATTAAACAGATTCTGGACCGTTCAATTGTGCATGTTTGATGACTCATCTCTGGTAGTGAAGTCGAGTAAAAGAATGATTCTACGAACACGATCTGAGTGCCAGTGAATGCACACTAAAGAAATCGAAAGGCGACACCCAAGATAGCAGTTACAGAAGCACAACTTTAAACTTTCGCGCAGATAGAGTGTGCCAGGCAGGAAAATTAATCGAGACACCCTACTCATTCCACAATAACCAAAAAAACACTGTTATCCTTCAACCTTGTTATGTTAAATATAAACAATCCTTTCGTGGCCCATGATTCGGTACGATCTTGGTCATTATAAGCTGCTAGGGAACGCATGACGCACATGTGTGAAGTTAAAAAATTGTTAGGACGAGGAACATGGCAGCCGTTTCTTTGCAGTGCGTCACATCAGATAGAGTGTAAAAAATACAGCTAGAACGGTAACTGCATTGTCCAGATAAACCGACTCAAGAATAAAACTGGGAATCGGACGAGAATTTTTAGCATTTTCAGCATTTGTGTTGGCGGTCACTTAATATAGTGGATTGACGTCCTTTATGTCTGCCAACCGCACTAAAATGTGGGGACCAGTGCAATTTGCTCGCCTTACTTTTACCAAAGGAGACGAGCAGAGTGGATCGCTGTGAATTACTAAGGATATTCGGGAAAGTGGTCAACGTCTTTTTTTTAGTTGACATGTATTACTGATCCGAACCTTCAAAGTTGATTGTTGTTTGCGTGATTTTTAGCAAGGTTTGTGTGTTTTGACATTCAGCACAGCGAAGGGAACTCTGTTGATGGTATAAAATGACTATTCTCTAGCATGGGTGGCATTCGATGCTAAAGATTTCTTCATTTTGTGCTTACTTAATTACCTTTGCTAAATTTAGTCTGTAAAATACTGCTCTCTCAAAAATATGTCAATCCGAATATGACTTTTTGGTGAATTTTGAATCCATTGATAAATAATTAACAGAAGTAGGGAACTCAGACAACTTTTTTCTACATTTAAAGTTCTATTTTACACAATCACTGTATCTGTCGTTCTGCTGACTAGTCATTAATTGAAAAGTTAATTGAGGAGGTTGCTCAGAAGTCAGCCATCTGAGGGGAGTGAATCGAGTTGTACAGAGTACAAATTGTCAACTCTGGCCAACCTGAAATAAGTCTAGGCATTTTACTGGTCTAAAAAGTGAAAACGTTGTTAATAAAAGCAAAGTAGTCTTTCATATATGTACACAAGACCTCCTGCAGTTGCGGGAGATGTATCGCTCTTTGTTACGTAATGACAAGTGCCTGAAAGATAAATACGGCTGGGGTGTTTGGGCTTGTCTGCATCGCTGAATTTGTCACACTGTTCTTGATGAATTCTACAAAACACCACTGGTGAATTGGTCAATCCCACAAACAGCTTTTATCTCGGCTGCGGATACTACCAGTTGGTGCTTGACAGTTCAAGACAAAATATTGAATTTAGGTGGTTAAATTGAAAATCCTTAGTTTTGCCTATGAAAGAAAAGTGGATTTGCATGGCCATTGCGACACATGTCGCAGAACATCTTCAAAAGCATTCAAAAATTATCGAAGTCACTTTTGGTTGATACATTTGCCTTGTTCCTAGGGGCGGTAATTTAGCATAGTGTTTCTATCTAATCTTAAGGAGGAAAGAGAATGTTAGGGGCAGGAAATTAGGCAGGTGACAACGATAGTGAGTGACGTTAGCAGCTTATAACCATAAGAATATGACCTTTTTTAGGAAGGCGCCTTATGGTAAGTCTTGAAGCTCATTAGGAGCAACTCTTCATCCTTCGTAATGTGGGCATTTGAATGATTCGTGTTAATGTCATGATGCCTGTATAAAAGGTATTACAGAGGCAAATTTTAATAATGTTTTTATGTTTAGCTATCCTAAGGACTTCCATTTTTATTACACAGTATTTGCAGAAGTGAAAGTAAGTGAATCCTCTTCCAATCATGAGTCATATCCTGGGTACATATTTGGGTTGAGGGAGGTCATGTAGGTGAGATTTCGATTTAGGCATATCCGGCGCCACTCGAGGACTGAACAAATGACTGCTCTGTTGGACCCAACCCTAGCTTGTGGGAATTAGGTAATTGAGTGAAGATAGCTAATGGTTTTTCTGTAATATTTCAGATGTTAAGAGCTATTGAACAAATAATTGGGAGTGTAATCGGGGCTCCAAGTGTCGGCAATAAGGCAGGCTACTGAATGACCTGTTTTGGATTTTATCTATTTGTGTGAGGCAATGCGACTACAAGGTGGGTTAAGCCTTAGCGGCTGGAACGAAACGACAGCCTGTGATTGTGCGTATTTCGTAAGCATTTGGCCAGGCGCTTCATGGATCGCTCAGCAAATCAACAGTTCCTGTTAATGCGATCATGGCAGTAAGACAGCTGATCTTCCGTATTGAAGTTGTTTATGGAGTCGAGCTCCTTCTCTCATGAAGCAATAGGTGACCCCCTTTGAGGATCGCCGTGACTGTTCTACAACGTCTGTTTCTGTAGACCTACGACGAACGTCATGGGACGCCTTGTTTTGTGGTATGCATTTAATCTGCATTATTTTCTGCTACGCCGTAAAATTAATTCACTTGTGTAAACAAATTGGAATATGTGGTTAAGGTTTGACATCTGTGGGTTTCATTTTAGACCGATTCTCTCATGAAAGGCGCCTAATGTGACAGAATGTGCTAAATGTTAAAATGTTGTGACCATCGTCTTCTCAGATGCAGGCAACCTCAGAGAATAGACTTAAGCACACCCCGTAGATAGGATTGGTGCTTTCGGTGCACTAGGAAGATGCCGAGTATACTTGTATGGTAATGGCTCCCATCACCATTTAAAAAATGCTGAATTAGCATATATTGTTAAATTCTTGGCCAATATTTAAATAACATAAAGAGGAAAGAGAAGGCTCTTCTAGCTACCTGAATACAACAATTTGTGCAAAATATTACTCCATCCTCAACTTTCTCCTCTCTTCGGCCTCGTTCTCTTCTTTTAACAAAGCAGATGCACCATTACTCCAAGGTCCTCTACAAGAACCTCCTGGACTGCAGCTACCCTCTAGTCTCCTCGGTGCTCATTAGGTGATTATCGACAAGGTGCAATCACATGGAATTTGCTTTCCCTTCCTATTCTTCCTTTGCTTTGGATATAGCTTTGTGGGTAAAGAAGGCGACACTCAGTTTACGCCAGCCAAATATCATGTACCATCATAAACTAATCATACGGACAGGTTGAATGATATTTTAAAAAAAGGGGAATTTTCAAAGACTTCTCTGTGGTGCTTTCAAGTTCTTAGAGGAGATACCTCTATCCCTCAAACCTTCAATTACAGCTGCAAGGATGACTGTCCTAAACCAGTCAATACTTTATAAAATCGCCTACCAAACGGGATTGAATAACCAATCATCAACCGGCCTCCAGCACTGAAGGTATGCACGGTGCCTTCACTAGTTGGACATACCAACATCCATCAACAGTACTTTCAAGCATGCTTCAAGCTAATGTTTGCATTGCCACCCTGATTCATGACTCGACGCAAAGCGAAAGCAAATTTCTGGCCCACCTGCACAAAGGAGCTAATTTACCTAGTTGATTTAAAGCTTTGGAGAATGACTTGTTGTAACTGGTGAGATGCGGGTGTTTTTAACTGAAAGAGGTATGCAACAAAGATGTGTTAATTTATCAGTGTGGCACCCTTTATTATATCCTGTAAATTTTCTGCCTTTTCTGATTTCAACTCTGCTCAGTCGAATGTGCATTTGACAGCCGTCTATACGATTGTTGAATGTCTTATCAAGAAAATGGTTCCCGTATATCAGTGCATGTAGAGCTGACGAATGGCCAATGGATTATAACCAGGAGGTGCACCACTCCTGCTTTCATATTTGTAAGGTACCACTGATTGCAGAAAGGCTGTACTAGATATTATACGCCTAGATACAAACAAATTTTTGGAAAAAAAGGTATTGCATGATTGCAACCAGTAAGGTATCCCGAGAAACTTCTTGTAGCTCTTCAAATTTTGTACAAATTGTGTTGAAAACCCTGTAAAAATGTTACGCTTTGTGTGTGAAGTTTGTAGCCATCTTCAGCCATGGGTGATGCCTGCTCTTAACTCATGTAGTGATAAATGGATAGCGCTGATATCCATGGAGAGATGAACAATCAGCCTATTGGGTTACAGTCTTACCGAGTGAAAACCTAGTACAAAAAGCTACTAGCGATGGTCAAATGAGGAGAGATTGCTAAAGCACACGAGAGCGATATGTAAAAGTCTTCCTCAGCAGAGGCGACTACTGAAATCGTATGATGTCCACGCAGTTAGAATAGAAGCCGACCAATGGCAGTGTAGCGTCCTAAATCATGATGCACAATGGGAGAGGTTGCCACCACCACAGCCACCTCTACTATCGCTATCGGCCACATGTCAGCTAGACTAGACCAATTCCATGGTAGTAAGACAAATGAGGCAGAAGGCGCTGTTCACGTGGAGGAATGGTGGTTTACGCAACCCCTGAGAACACAATACCTTACCTCCTCGCAAGTGAGTGTTTTTATTGCCTCAAGAGATGGCATAAACTGAGAATTCCAATTGACCTGATTGACTGGGTTCGGGAAATCGCAGGTTTTACTTATCTGTAGATATAATGCACCTATGAAATTTTGAAAATCAACAGATGGATAAAAAGTAATGAATTTTGAATACGCTGGACGGGTTGAGAAGAGTTGAGGAAAGGTAAATTTGAATGGAGGAAAGGAAGGAAGGCAATTGAATGAATGGCCAAAAAAATTTGGTAGATGGCGAAGTGATGCAATAGACGGAAGGCCTCACTTTGATGGAGATGAATGAATGATTAAGTGAATAAACTCCCAAAAAATGACGTGAAGTCACACAATTAGGCTGATAATAATTCCGTCCCAACCCGTTGGTCAGTGGTCGGTTGTCCAACCAATCACAGCAAACGGTTGGTCACTTAAAAGAGGCTACTTTCCACCACCAAAATTATCTGTTTTAGTTGACCGACTTACAAATGGTTAACAAAACTGCTACATTCAAAGGTGCCACCAAGGTAGAGGCCTTGGTGTTTTTCATGGGATATCCTCTTATCATGGTGCTGAGTCACCTGTGGAGACTGGGATATGAAAAATTTTTGAAAGCAAGAGTAAGTGACTCCTTTTTTTGGAATCTCTTAAGAATGATCTGCAAATATGGGGACTTAAGTAGTGGTTTATTGTAGATGGAAGTGTTCGATCAGAATGCCACCAAGATCACATAATTTACTGCTTTGATGCTTTAATGATGCTTGATTTATTTCGATAACCGAGGAATGCGGTCATTATATAGGCTCTCACTGAGCGTGCTAGACATTAGCATTCACTTTGTCTTAAAATTTGCTCCAATAAACCACGTCCTTGCAAACCACATGTTTGCATATTCCCTTACACACTGTGGAATTGATGTTAAAATTCGAGTTGTAGTTTTGATCTAACCAGTACGAAAAAGATGTTAGCAAAACCCTCTGGCCAAAATCCCGCACAATATTGAGTTTTTGATTGTAAAAACAACGTTGCTGTTATAATACTCCATAGATAGTGGAACCAGTACCAAAGCCTAGCACGAAGGTGCGTCTAGACCTTTACATATGCGCATTTTTGGGACAGTCCATTTGGATAGCCAGCCTGTCCGAAAGCACGGCTTTTGGAACCCTGGTAAGTCCAGTTTTACCTTTTTAACCTGGCTGACCCTACACAGATAAGATCTGGTATTCTGGAGGATTAGAATGCAACCAAGTTGCCTACTGAATAGACTGCCAATAGCACATTAGTAGTCATTCTGCATGATCTACAAAAATGCTTCTACTGATGCCGAAATATTTAGCTCATACACTGCCAATAGAGACAGAACCTCTGCACTTCTTTGCAAGTGGTTCACCAAGTAGTTTGAAGCCTTTGAAGCAAAAAGTTAAGCGTAATCAGTTATAAATAAGTTGCGAAAAGGCAGTATATTTTCCACATCATTGCTCAATCCAACTTCTTTACATGAATCTAAGGTGCTTTCCGTTTGTAGAGAGTGCACTAAAGAATAAAAGCGTGGGTTATTATTGCTAACAGAAGTGTGCTAAATGGCTTCATCACCTCATCACTTAGCTGGCAGGGTCTGAAGACGATAGGCATGTTTTTGCAAATGGAAAGGCAAAACGACACAGAACTAACCCAGCTGTGAATGATACTTTTCAGTTGGGCATTTCTGGCCCCATATGCTACGCATTTGCAGGCATCATGCCGACAGTGTTGTTTATGATTCCGCTGGTCCGCTGGCGCATGATCGCGCCCGGTGCGCGGACCTTCCTGCACGTCATTTATGGTCGCTTCGGTTCCACCGCGCACCTTATACTCTGTACCTTCGCCCTCCTTAATAGTCTCTACATTGTTGCCACCACTATCGAAAGTATGTTTCTATCACATTTTCCCTTGCATGTACGATTTAAGAGACAAGGCTGGATGTCAACAAGATTGGTTAAACACTTTTTGTAAACTGCTCTCGTGTGTACGTACTACCGAAAAGGGCTTAAATTCCCCTTGCACATCGCAGACCCTATCTATGACTCCACATGTAGACTTGCTAAAACAACTTAACACCTCACTAGCAGTTGTGGGATTGAAATACGGCCCTTATTCTCTTCTCAGTCAAATACATCAGCCTTTATTGAAAGTCGGTTTGGGTTGTTAGCACAATACAAGCAATGATCAGGCAAGTAGAGAACAATGAATGTGACCGCACACATAGGTGCAGATGCAGGATCAGCAAAATGAAATATCGCTTTAGCTCTTAACCAGGACATTTTACAGCCAGTCTATTGAAACCAAAAAAGAACAGGCAAATTCTAAAAGACACGCTCATTCTCACTACTTATGCCGAAAGCAATCAAGAAGGTCAAGGGCTCTCTTAAGATGGGTCCTTTATTTGTTTTTCACATACTGCCCCTTACATCTTTCACTTGAAGCTGGCAACAGACTGTTCTCGAGCATTTCCACAGAAATAACATTTGACTTGGTGTGGATCGTCGCTATAACCATTGCTGGAATTTGCGTGAGTTGCGCCAATCTGCGACAAGTATTTCCTGTCTGCTATGTGGGCAGTGGTTTTCTCATGCTCTCTTCCATGGCGTTCTTCACCGGTGTCTACTTTCTCAGCAGCAATCCTAAACTAGGTAAATTTTCTAGCAATTACTACCGCTTACCTACGTCAACTTGACCGTAGATCCTAATAAGGATGTGTACATTATGTAAAATGATGAATAGTATAAGAAATGCTCACATTCATAGCAATGCATGTCACATTGCAAAGCATGTCTTATTGTTGAAACATGAAACATCAACAGTTTTGTTTTTTTAATAGTACTTTGTCGGACAAAAGCAAAACATTGTTTATTTCACTGACATAACTACAAGAAGGCAATAAGTCATCGTAACCTTTCGATGTATAGGCATAGGCTTGGAATGTGGTTGGTAAAGCTTTTGGAAAATAAGCGAATCGAAGAGGTGAATATGACGTCTCTGAATCTACTTTTTAGGTTCAATTAATAGGATATATGAGGCGAATGTGGCAGAGGATGATCTGTACTCTGGCAAAATCAACCGGATGTCATTTTACAATTGGCACACTTGGATTTTGGCGGTCAGGAAGTTCTTGAGTAAGCACTGAATGATGTTTTGAGGAAATGGTATGATTCATGTTAGACTGTTTTGTAGTTAGGTTTTATCCTGAGTTGCAGTGTACACAAGCTTAGTTCTGTTGCGCAGATAACAGAAGCATGGAAAATTAAGTAGAATTGAAATAGTAATAGCGATGGTATTGTTCTAAATGCTGCAGTGTCCTGATGTGTGTCGTAGAACTAGTGGTAAGCATGGCAGAAATTATGCATGAACAAGGATAATACAATGATCCATTTATTGAATGTTAAAATAGATGGATTAGCACCACTAATCATGGACCAGACAACTTGGCAGATCTGTTGCTCTGCGACACCGGGTGAGGAAATCATTGGAGTTTTTGGGCATCCATACTGTGGATGACCC